GCTGAGATGCATCCAGGAAGCTCCTGTTTTGTTATTTTGCACCTGGCTTTGGATTGTAGGGAGGACAAGTCTCAGGGTTGTGTTGCATGCTGTTGTGATAACAGGTTGGGAAGTCCACTCAAAAGTCAACTCTGGTTTGAAGCTTCTGGTTTCAAGTCGTTAGGTATTATTGACCAAAAGATTTAGTGCTGTTTTCAAAGTAGAGTTGGGATGTTTCAGTGAGCTGAGTAGATGTTCACTGTAAATGAACAAAACTGACTGTTTTGATTGGTGTTCTGGTGTGGGTTTCTTTTTCCTCAGGGATGAAATATTTCCCAGAAGCAGACATCCATTACCTCGACAGAACCACGGGAGATGGAACGCTGCTGCCTGAGAAATTCAATGGTTTCTGTAACCTGGAGAGATTTTACAATGATCCCAAATGCCCCGACGGACACTCGTATCGACTGCAGGCCTGGCTCTTTGGTAACCGGGTTTTACAGTATGCTGATGCCTTGGAGCATCTGCTGGCCACAGGTTAGAGATTTCACTGTAAAGAAATAGAATTTCTGAATTAAGTGATGATGAGTGTCAGTTGTGATTAAACTCTTCTCAAGTGCTAGTATCTGCATTTGGAAATGAGAGGCTGTTATATTGTTAAGCTTTTTATATTCCCCTCTCCCTTAGTGTGTACAGGTTGACAGTTAATTTAGAAAAATATCCCATATTTTATGTCAGAGCAGTGTCTTACATCCTTTCTGGCAAAGGAAACACACACTAATTAACAATTTAATTAGTTTTAACTTGGCAATCCCTGATGATTATTTTCCAAAAGACGTTTTAAACATAACCAAGACAGCAGCGAGTTGTACGTCCTTTTTAAAACTCCCTCCACTTAGTTCCTGATTGTATCTGTTGTTCAGTCTCTTTTATTTCATTCAATACTACTTCGTGATGCTATTGTTACCATTTTAACATCTTCTGCTGAGAAAATATTTCCTCTGCCAACACTGGTTTACCTGTTGCTTGTGCTTTAATAAGTGTTTGCCAAAAAAGATGCAAATACCAGGAGGTATCAGACAGAAACGTAAATGGACTCCTTAAAAACGATAGTACTGAGCTTATTTTTTTTGTTTTACTTAAAATTTCTAGAAAAGCAATCAAAAAATTGACCATAAGAGCAGTGCTGTGTTTAATTTTAAACGTTGCTGCCAGCAGCCTCTTTGAGCCTTGCTGATTGGAACCTCCTTTGAATTGCAGGCCAAGGTGTGGTGATGGAGCGCTCTCCTTACAGCGACTTTGTGTTTCTGGATGCCATGTTTAAAGAAGGCTACATCCACAAGAGATGTGAGTTACTTGTGTGCAAAAGGGAGTTGTTTTGCCATAAACTCAGCCAGAAATGTTGTAGTTTAGTTTAAAAAAAAAAAAAGAAATAAAAAGGTCTGCTTGGGAAGATGGACTTCTTTAAATATTGAGAGTTGTTCGCAAGGTGCTTAGCACCCTGCTGTTCCATGCATCAAGGACCAGCCTCAAGCCATGAGACACAGTTTTAATTCAATGCTTTATATGTTCTTGCTTTTATGTTAAAGAACATGTGTTCTGTGTGTTGCTGACTTGTGTCCTGCCAGCCAGACACTGTTGTAGTTCCCTGGAAATGTGGGTGAGCGTGCTGCTGAAGACTAGAGGTCCTTCAGGCAGGCTGTGATCTTGCAGCATTAGGTGGGAGGTAAATAATGGGTCAACAGGGTTTGCCCTACTTGCCTTAAATGACCAGCTCCCTTTTGAATCTCAAAGAAAACAAATGTTGCTCTTGTCTTCAAGAAGAGCAAGGAGGAAGATCCAGGGCTCTACAGGCCAGTCAGCCTCAGCTTGATCTGCAGGGAGTTGATGGAGCAAATCCTCCTGGAAGCCATTTCCAAATGTGTGAAGGATGTGAAGGTGATGGAGAATAGTCATCATAATTTTCTGAGAATGAAATCACACTCAAACACCTGGTAGCTCCTCACAGGAAGCTAGCTCAGTGGATGAGCACGGAGCAATGGATATTGTTTATCTTCACTTACGAGGGACAGCACTGAAAGCCTCGCTGAACCTCCTCATTGGCAAACTGATGAAGTGTAGATTAGATATGTGGGTAGTAGATTGAAAAGTGGCTGAACTGTTGGACTCAAAGGGTTGTGATCAACAGTGCAAAGCCCAACTGGAGGCCATTAACTAGTGGTGTATCCCAGGGGAGGATACTGGGGCCAAACCAGGTTTAAACTGGATTTAAAATGTGGATTACAGGACAGAGTGCAATGTCAGCAGGTTTGCAGCTGGTGGAAAATTGGGAGGGGAATGGTTGACACGCTGTATGTTTTTTGGTGATATTCAGAAGCTGAACAGGCTGGAGAAATTGTTGGATGATAACCTCATGGAGTTCAACAAAAGGGGGTGCAAAGTCCTGGATGTGGGAAGGAGTAACTGCAGGCACCCCTGTGTACTGGGAGACAGCTGAATAGAAATCTTTGTGGAGGATGACCTGGGGGTCTTGATGGACATCAGGCTGAGTGAGCCAACACTGTGCCCTTGTGGCAAAGGATGCCACCAGCATCGTGGGTGCTGAATAAAGAGTGTTGTCAGCAGGTTGAGGGAGGTGATCACCAAATCTGCTGCTCTGGGTGCAGCCCAGGACACGGTTATTGGCCTCTGTGCTGCCAGCGCACGTTGCCGCCTCATGTTGAGCTTCTCCTCCCCCAGCACCCCAAGTCCTTCTCCTCAGAGCTGCTCTCCAGCCATTCCCCACCCAGCCTGGATTTGTGCTTGGGGTTGCCCTGACCCAGATGTAGGACCTTGCACTTGTTGAACCCCATGAGGTTGGCATGGGCCCCCCTCTCCAGCCTGTCAAGGTCCCTCTGGATGCCATCCTGTCCCTCCAGCATGTGGACTGAACCACACAGCTTGGTGTTGTTGGCAAACTTGCTGAGGGTGCCCTTGATCCCAGTGTCCCATGTTGCTGACAGAGATGTTAAACAGCACCAGTCCCAGTACTGACCCCTGAGGAGTGCCACTCATCTGTGGTCTCCACTTGAACATTGAACCTGCTCTGGTTGCCTCCACTCTGGGCAGAGTGGTTGAACCAGCTGGTCTGTAGATGTTCCTCCCAACCTCAGCAGTGCTGTGGTTCAGGGTTATGGGCACTGAGCTCCTGAGCAGCACAGTGTTACTGTGGGCATGCTTGGGGAGTCTCCATCCCTTGGCTTGGAACAGAACAGTTATGTGATGTCTGTAGGAGACCAGCCACAGCCAAAACATGCAAACTTAGAGCTGCACAAAAGTCTGGAGAAAATAACTGTCAACCCCAGTCATTAGCTGACCCCTAAATCAATAGTTATTGCAGTTCTTGTTTCTGTCTGTTCTTGGCACATCTGGCATTCTGGCTTCTCCTGAGGTGAAGGTAATAGTTGCCCTGACTGCCTGGTGTTTCTGCTGTCTTGTTTGATTTGGCTTAGGTTTAGGAGGTGTGTATTAGTTATTTTAACACCCGCTGTAAGTTGTTTTTTGAATGAGTTTGAGAGCTGGTTGGAATGGACTGTGTCCTACTGCTCTGTGTTGGTGAGGCAGGCAAAGCCCAGCAACCCACAACTTCGAGTTAACAGAAAATTCCAGCAACAAAAATTGTACTAAAATGTTTAAGCAGCAAATGTCTTGCTTAGAGGTGCTGCTGACTGTGGTGCTGAGCATGGTAAGTTTAAATTTTTCTCAAACTGTTTGAATTGGAAAGCCTGGCACCATGTTTCTAGCTAAGCCTTGTTGAGGAAAGCTTGCACTTGAGTGGGGTTAAATGGAGCCTCTGCTATTCATGCCACTTCAATGTTGAGGAGATGCTTTCCCTGAACCTTCCTGGCCTCTTAATCCCCAAATTATCTGAGGGCTGGAGCAGCTCTGCTGTGAGGACAGGCTGAGAGAGTTGGGGCTGTTCAGCCTGGAGAAGAGAAGGCTCCAGGGAGACCTTCTAGTGGCCTCCCAGTACCTGAAGGGGCTCCAGGAAGGGTGGGGAGGGACTTTGGCCAAGGGCAGGGAGTGACAGAACAAGGGGTGATGGCTTGAAAGTGGCAGAGGGGAGATGGAGCTGAGATGTGAGGAAGAAATTGTTTGGTGTGAGGGTGGTGAGACAGTGTCCCAGGTTGGGCAGAGAAGCTGTGGCTGCTCCTCCCTGGAAGTGTTGAAGGCCAGGTTGGATGAGGCTTTGAGCAACCTGGTCTAGTGGAAGGTGTCCCTGCTGCTGGCAGGGGGGTTGGAACTGGATGAGCTTTAAGGTCCCTTCCAACCCAAACCATTCTATGATTCTATGAAACTATTACCCCCAAAATTCTTTACGTTATAGATGTGATGGAAGAACCCAGTTGCACAGAGCCCATCAACTCTTCTCAGGTACATTTCTTTGTGTGGAAAGGTGAGGTCCTCCAAAGTCCACTCAGGTTGTCATGGTTTTGGAGAGGTGATAACGCTCTTGCTTGTGTAGATCACAGAGCTGTTGATTAACAGTAGTGCAGAGGATGCCTTCAGTATGGTGAGGAGGGACACAGCTGGGTTGGTGACCTCTTAAAAGAGTGGCTTTACCCCAGCATGACTTTGTGTATGCTTTGGAGGGCAGGGGAAATGCCTGCCTGGTCCTTGGGTTTCCTCACGTGGTGGGAAATAAGAGTACTTCTTGCAAAGTTGTGTTGAAGCATCTGACTTTCTCCGTTACCACCTCTGCCACACTGTCCTCTTAGGATGAGGCCTTGGCAAATGGCAGCCCCAGCCAGTGGTCACCTCGGGTGACCCGAGTGCTGCAGTCTCTCCCTGATCTTTTGAGAGATTGCCTTTGAATGATGGAGGAAAAACATAGGTTTCTGTAAAGTCAAGTCAGAAATATGAATCCCCCCTTTGATATAACTGATTTTAGATTCTCCTCCTGTCCTGGGCACTGGCGAGGCTGCAGCTGGAGTGCTGGGTTCAGTTTTGGGCCCCTGAGTCCAAGAAGGACATGGAGGTGCTGGAGCGTGTCCAGAGAAGGGAACGGAGCTGGGGAAGGGTCTGGAGCACAAATGTGCTGAGTTCCCTTGTGGCTGAGGGAACTGGGGGTGTTGAGCCTGGAGAAAAGGAGGCTGAGGGGAGACCTTGTGGCTCTGTGCAAGTCCCTTGGAGGAGGGTGGAGAGAGGTGGGGGTGGGTCTGTTCAACCAAGGAGCAAGGGACAGGACAAGAGGAAATGGGCTCCAGTTGTGGCCAGGGCAGTTGAGATGGGATGTGAGGAAGAATTTCTTTGCTGCAAGGGTTCTGAGGCATTGGAAGGGGTTGCCCAGGGCAGTGGTGGAGTCCCCATCCCTGGAGGTGTTCAAGAAACATGTAGATGTAGCACACAGGGTTTATGGTTTGACTGGATGAACTTAGAAGTCTTTTCCAACTAAATGATTCTGTGATTCTCACACCTCAGTGTGTGAAGCTTCTTAGTTTCATTGTGTTTTACTTTCTGCTTCTGGATGATTATTTATCCTAAAAACATCCCAAACCCTATTGGAGGAAAAACCTACCCTAGACTTGCTGTATCAGCCAAGAAGAAGAGACTCCAAGCACAGAGGTGTTGGATGTGGTTTATTTACAGGTACAATGTATTTAGCAAACACAGGAAATAAAAACCACTTGAGAAATGATCGCAGCTTCATTACCTGATAGGTTTTAATTTTAATGCTGTTCCTATTGCACTTGTCCTCATTTGGAACAGGCATCTGTGTTCAGCTGAGCTGCCTTTAGCTCTCCAGTGTACTTAGGTTGGTTTTTTTTTAATACAGGTGTTGATCACTACAAGGAGATCAAAGAAATCAGCATTTGTGAATTCCTACCACCTCACTTGGTCATTTATATAGATGTACCTGTCCCAGAGGTGCAGAAGAGGATTCAAGAGAAAGGCGAGGTAATTTTATCTCTTGCCACAGTTACTACCTATTAATATCTGTTGTATTCATGCCCTTAATGTGTGATTCCTGTGGGGTTTGATGCAAAATTCTGCTTTAGAAAAGCTTCTTGTCCTCTCAGGTGTAAAGGACTGTGTTGGTGGTGAGTGGATATTCTAGTGCACTTGCTCTAAAAAAATTAAATAAATAGATTTCCTTTTTTTGACTGCAACGTCATATTCTCATTTCTGTAATGAGAAATTCAAGCAAATTCACATGTTCTTCAAAACCAGCCTCTGCAGCTGCCATTTCAGGAGTCATGTCCAGGTACTGTGGTTCCTACAGTAAGATTATCCGTGCTTCCTGAGTGCCAGAAGCCCCAGCTGTGGTCCCTGGCTCCAGCTTCCCCACTTGACTGCTTTTTCAGACCTGTGCTGATGTTCGTGTGTGAGTCACTTGTGAGCAGCCAGTTCAGTTAACCTTCTGAAAGTAAGAAAATTACTGCTTGGTGCTTTTGTGTTAACACAGAGAAACCACCCATTTTAAATAAAAACAAATTTTGTGTAGGTATTCCATGAGATACAAAATCCAGGTTGCTTTCTGCCTAATCTAGGAGGAAGAAATACAGTTGCTTCTTCTCACGAGTGCAACTTCAGCCTTGTCTGAGGTCACGATCTTGATTCTTACTTGTTGATCTTTGTCAGTTGTGGAACCTAGAATCATAGAACCCTGGAATGGTCTTGGTTGGAAGGGACTCATCCAGTCCCAACCCCCCTGCCATCAGCAGGGGCACCTTCCACTAGACCAGGTTGCTCAAAGCCTCATCCAACCTGGCCTTCAACACTTCCAGGGAGGAGCAGCCACAGCTTCTCTGCCCAACCTGGGACACTGTCTCACCACCCTCACACCAAACAATTTCTTCCTCACATCTCATCTCCATCTCCCCTCTGCCACTTTCAAGCCATCACCCCTTGTTCTCTCACTCCCTGCCCTTGGCCAGAGTCCCTCCCCAGCCTTCCTGGAGCCCCTTCAGGTCCTGGGAGGCCACTAGAAGGTCTTCCCGGAGCCTTCTCTTCTCCAGGCTGACCAGCCCCAACTCTCTCAGCCTCTCCTCGTAAGGCAGATGCTCCAGCCCCTCATCATCTTTGTGGCCCTGATGATTAATCTAAGTAAAGTTGTTGGTTTGGTGTTCTCCCCACCCTCATGATTTTGGACACATGCTTTTAGCTTTTCTCAGGTGTTTTATGGGGATTAAATGATAATTATTTTGAACCTTGTTCCAAGGCTGTGGAAAGTGTCGTCAGGTGAAGTATTTAATTGTAGAAAGCCTGAGAGATTCGAAGAAAGCTTTGATTTATTAGAAAAAAAAATGGCAGGTTTCTTAAATGCTTGGGGATGCCTGTGTCTGTGGCAGCACGTGTGGCACCTTAGCATGCTGGGGTGAGGGGATTTGCAGTTTCCTGCTCATTTAAGAGGGAGGCTGATGATTGCTGAAGGGAGACACTTCAAAGCTGTGAGTGGAAGGCTGCCCTTGCTGCTTCCTGATCTGCGTGGCCTGAATTGCTTAGTCTGCTGGTCGAGTGACTCTCCCCTTCTGCCCTCCAGCAGTTTGGGCTGTGACTGAACCTGCCTCTGTCCTTTAAAGAACAAGATGCCCTTGTGTGGGGCAAACCAGAGCTTTTTTGTTTTAGCAGCTTCAGTGACAGAATTAGAAACTTCTGGATGAATGGTGGGAACCTGGGAGTTCTTTGTCCTTGTGAGCGTAAAGGTCGGTGGCATTTTTGAGACCTTTAGGCAGAAATTGCTGGTGTCATTTGTAACTTTCTGGGGTCAGTGGCAGCGCTGAACACTGTAGTGCTTGTTTGGGGATGGTATTTTTGGGGAATTCTGCCTTCTTGGTGGATGGAGTGTTTGATTGGTATTCAGTGTGCTGCTCTTGTGGGGCACTGGAAAAAAGAAGAGCTCTCCAGTGGGCTAAACAAGCAGAGACATAGATCTTTCTGGCACAATAGGCATCTTGGATGAACATTTCAAACAGGAAATGTAATTTAATTTTAGGGCTGAACTGAAGGGATCTATGGCAGATGAGAGAAATTCCTGGCATTTTGCATATGTGGCATTATATGCAAAATGCCAGGAATTTTGGCCAAGCATGTCCTGGGCTGCACCCAGAGCAGCGTGGGCAGCAGGTGGAGGGAGGGGATTCTGCCCCTCTGCTCCGCTCTCCTCAGACCCCACCTGCAGTGCTGCCTCCAGTGCTGGGGCCACCAACAGCACAAGGACATGGAGCTACTGGAGCCAGTGCAGAGGAGGCCACGAGGATGATGCGAGGGCTGGAGCAGCTCTGCTGTGAGGACAGGCTGAGAGAGTTGGGGCTGTTCAGCCTGGAGAAGAGAAGGCTCCGGGGAGACCTTCTAGTGGCCTCCCAGTACCTGAAGGGGCTCCAGGAAGGCTGGGGAGGGACTTTGGCCAAGGGCAGGGAGTGACAGAACAAGGGGTGATGGCTTGAAAGTGGCAGAGGGGAGATGGAGCTGAGATGTGAGGAAGAAATTGTTTGGTGTGAGGGTGGTGAGACAGTGTCCCAGGTTGGCCAAGGAAGCTGTGGCTGCTCCTCCCTGGAAGTGTTCTCGGCCAGGTTGGATGAGGCTTTGAGCAACCTGGTCTAGTGGAAGGTGTCCCTGCTGCTGGCAGGGGGGGTGGGACTGGATGAGCTTTAAGGTCCCTTCCCACCCAAACCATTCCATGATTCTATGATTAAAGTACACTGTGCAGAAGATGAACTGTTTAACAGCAGGTATGATAACCATGAAATTTCAGAGGAAGATTTTGGAGTGGATGGTTGCCCACATGCACTTGTCTGAAACTGTGGACATGGATGTACGTTGGCCTGTGTTGGAAAGGCAGACTCAATCTTCTCCAGTTTTCTGGGTGATTATATAGAACTTCCTGGATCGTTCAGGTCGCTAAGATTGATCAGTCCTTGGAAAGCTCATCTTTTGGAGGCTGTTGATGGATGGTTCTCTTAATTTATGTGAACTCAGGGAAAATGAGGTGATTCCTGTAACAAACTGAAATAAATTGGAAGAAAGTTTTTCACTTTTACATTCTTCTTTCACCTGCTTTTCCCTTTCTTTCTACGTTCACTAGCATGTCCAAAGAATCGTACTCATATGGCTAATTGTAGAATCGTTGTGGTTGGAAAAGACCTTTAAGATCAGAGTCCAACCATAAACCCAACACTGCCAATCCCACCTCTAACCCATGTCCCTGAGCACCTCGTCTGCCCGTCTGTTCAATCCCACCAGGGAAGGTGACTCCACCACCTCCCTGGGCAGCCTGTTCCAATGCC